TTTAACAGATTTTTTTTCTGTGCAGGGACTGCTTTATGGTTTGGCCTGGGCACCATGGGTATGTAAACACCTGGATTTTTTTTTATTTTTTATTTTTTAAATTCTCCTTTGGAGGAACTTATTCCTCTTTTAAGATTTCCTAACAATTTCTTCGTATCTCTATGAGACAAGTTATCCTAGAATTTCTAGTTGAGTTCGCATTTCCCATTTCTTTATGTTATTGGCATAGATATGAACAGCTCTATCAACTTGTGGCCATGTCATTTAGTTTTTACTGCATATATATTGACTACTATTATATGCTGGCACAGGTGCCTTATTTGAGCGCTTCATTTGGAGTCATTTATATCCTTGTCAAACCTTCTGTAAGTCATTTGCTCTCAAACCCGTGTCGCCTTGTTTCCTTTTTGCAGTCATCGTATTCATTATTTTATATTTAATGGCAGACTTATGCAGTTATATCCAAAGGATCAAACTCGTCAGATCAGGTTAGTCTACTGTGTAGTATTTAAATGTTCAAGTAATGCCTATTCATCATAATATCTGCCTCTTAGAAGAAATAACACAAAAATTCTCATAGCCGACCGACTTCAATCCGACAGCCTTTGAGCGACGTGTTTGGAAATTGTGCTTATTAATACTCTGTCCACTCTTCTGTTGGGATTCATTCACAGTTTCACACAGTTATTACGCAATCAGTCAATAACACATCTTCCTTGATATTATTATTATTATTATTATTATTATTATTATTATTATTATCAACAAACAGGTAAAATACTACTTGCGAATGACTAAAGACTACCTTTTCTTAAGAGAATATAAGTGAAATTGTCACTTTGGTGAACCTATAATTTCCCAATCTTCTTCTTCTTCTTTTTTTTTTTTTTCTGCAAAAAAATTATTATCTAAGAGAATCAGTACCGCCACTTCTTACTTCCTGAAAAATTTCAATTTTGGTCCTTTAAGTTGACCAAAGTCCTAAATTGATACGCTAATTCGTCTCTCATAAAAAAAGTCTGTTAAGTCACAACTTTGCTCACTTTTGGTACACTAATCTCAACAGTCGGGATTAACTTGTGATGTGGGTGATTAAATTTGACAAGATGAAATCGATTATTGAAACTAAATATGGATTTCAATATTAAAAATACTTTGTTTCAATAAATTTAACACTTCAAATAACTAAAGTAATAAAATTATAATGATAAAATGGTGATTAATTTTATTTATTTATTTAATTTATAACACAATGTATTATTATTTTCTCGCTAATCGCACGTGCCATGTACTAGTATATATGAAAGAAAATAGAAGATAGTTTGGTTTTAGATTCTGGTGGTCTTCTTCAATATCTGAACCCTCTTATTTTTGTTTTGCTTTTCTTCAATTAGGGGAAAGCACAAGGCTTTGTTGCTGGTATTCAATCGGTTGCAAGTCTGCTTTCACCACTTGCAATGAGTCCTCTCACGAGTGAGTCGGTTTTTCTGTTTCTTTATCAATTCTTTTTCGTGGGTTAAACAATGTTGACACTTTTTTTGATGATCCATTTTTTTGCTTTGTTCTCGTTCCAGCATGGTTTTTATCCGGCAATGCACCTTTCAACTGTAAAGGTTTCAGCATCATATTTGCATCTCTAAGCATGGTAAGCTTGATTAATCTTTACTCTTAGTAGGACAACTCTTCAGATATAATAAATGACACAAATATCATCCTTGGGAAGTGTAATTCGCTAAATAGAAGCAAATGTCGAGGGCTAATTTATCAACTGACATATACACATTCCTTTTGGTGGTGATTTTAAGAACTACCCATGAGGTTTGGGGTATTTAGAAAATCAGGAAAGTATCAAATTGCACGACACCCCATTGTAGTTTGATTCTTTCTTGAATTTAAGGACTTGTAATATTTTAAAGTAACACAAGTGTTGTGATCACACTTTTTATTATTCATTTAGGTTATCTCACTGTGCTTCGCATGGATGCTAAAGTTAGATCACAGGGAAGACATTGAAACATCGCTACTATCATAAGATTTAGTTACTGTAGAGAGGGCTGCTATCGTATCAATATTTTTGACTTATAGAAGAGGGCTGCTATCGCATCAATGTTTTCGACTTTTAGAAGACTGTATCTAAACACTGAACAAATTGTCCATGCATCTAATTCTCGGTATGGTTTGGAAGATCATAGGCATTTCATGATGTGCAAAAATATTGAGGGAGACTCACTTCATGGGATGGGCCTTATGATCTGCCCCGCTCGAGTTGTAAATGTTACACGTAGTTGACGATATATATCTATATTGTATCCTACAATGTTGTTTAGTTTGGATAAATAGCAACCAAAACATTGATTAATTCTTTTTTTTTTTTTTACAATTTTTTAACTCAAAATGCATCTTAAATTTAATCTAACTTAAACTCTCTTAAAAACATTATTACACACACCACATCAAAAAATTGCATTATTTATCTTTTCAATTACCAATCATTTCAAATAATATTTCTCATACTTTTATATCACATTAACTTTAAATATGAATTAAAATCTACGCTCAAATCTCTATTCAGTCATTTTTGTTTTGAAAATTAACCTACTTTATCCGATAAATCCAATAAAAAAAATATATTTCCAAGCATAATTGGATGCATTAATTGACTAGTTTTGCGAAGCCGAAAAATTTATTCTACAATTTGTTAATTTAAAATCAACTCAAATTGAATCCAACCATCTACCCTCAATATTATAAATGTAATTAGATAATACCAATCAATCATTGTAAGACATCATCAACAACAACAACAACAACAACAACATAGTCTTTTAGTCCCAAGCAAGTTGGGGTAGGCTAGAGATGAAACTCAAGAGAACCAATGGTAAGAGAAACACAAAAAGGGTTCAAAACAAAAGGAAGAGATTGGAGCAAAAGAGAAATGAGCAAAAGTCACGGTTCTGACACGTTGATTGCTAGCCTCCAAGCGCTCCTATCCACCGCTAAATCCTTGGAGATATTCTAATCTTTAAGGTCTCTCTTAATCGACTCTTCCCAAGTGAGTTTAGGCCGACCTCTACCTCTCTTTACATCATCGACCCGCTGTAGAACTCCCCTACGCACCGGTGCATCAGGAGGCCTCCGTTGGACATGTCCGAACCACCTCAGCCGATGTTGAACCAATTTCTCCTCAATTAGAGCCACCCCGACCCTATCTCGAATATCCTTATTCCGGATCCTATCCCTTCTTGTGTGCCTGCAGAACCAACGCAACATACGCATCTCTGCTACACTTAGTTGTTGGACATGTTGCCTTTTTGTAGGCCAACATTCAGCACTGTATAGCATCGTCGGGCGAATCGCCGTCGTATAAAACTTACATTTTAGCCTTTACGGCACCCTCTTATCACAGAGAACGCCCGAAGCCTGACGCCATTTCAACCAACCGGCTGCAATTCTATGCCTAACATCAACATTAATGCCGCCATCCTTTTGTAGCATCGATCCTAAATACCGGAAAGTCTCCTTCTTGGCCACTACTTGCCCGTCAAGGCTAACATCACCATCATCATGTGTAGCCATGCTGAAAGCGCACGTCATGTACTCGGTCTTCGTCCTACTAAGTCTGAAGCCTTTCGACTCTAACGTGTCCTTCCACAGCTCTAACTTCCTATTTATCCCTGCCCTACTCTCGTCAACTAGCACCACATTATCAGCAAAGAGCATACACCAAGGGATATCACCTTGTATGTCCCTTGTGGCCTCATCCATCACCAAGACAAATAAATAAGGGCTAAATGTTGACCCCTGGTGTAGTCCTATTTTAATTGGGAAGTCGCTGGTATCGCCCCCACATGTTCGAACACATGTCATCGCATCTTTGTACATATCCTTGATGAGGGTAATGTATTTAGATGGGACTTTGTGCTTTTCTAAGGCCCACCACATGACATTCCTCGGTACTCTGTCATAAGCCTTCAAGGTCGATAAAAACCATGTGCAAGTCCTTCTTTTGGTCCCTATATCTCTCCGTCAACTGTCGTATTATCGCCTTCATGGTTGACCTTCCAGGCATAAACCCAAATTGATTTTGGGTCACACTCGTCACTCGTTGTAGGTGATGCTCGATAACCCTCTCCCAGAGCTTCATCGTATTGCTCATCAATTTAATCCCACGGTAGTTACCACAGCTTTGAACATCTCCCTTGTTCTTGAAGATCGGTACTAAAGTACTTCTCCTCCATTCATCGGGCATCTTGTTTGACCGGAAAATGAGGTTAAAAAAAGCTTAGTTAGCCATACTAACCCTCTGGCGCCCAAGCATCTCCACACCTCAATGGGGATACCATCAGGGCCCATTGCTTTACCTCCCTTCATCCTCTTCATAGCCTCTCCGATCTCTGCCTCCCGAATTCTCCTCACCAAGCGTCTATTGGTATCCTCAAATGAGTCATCCAACTCCAGGGTAGGACACCCACTCTCCCCATTAAACAATTTGTCGAAGTACTCTCGCCATTTGTCCTTGATCTCCCCATCCTTCACCAGTGGCCGATCCGACCCATCCTTGATGCATTTGATTTGATTGATGTTCCTTGTCTTCCTCTCCCGAATCATATCCATCCTATAAATGTCCTTCTCCCCCTCCTTCGTGCCTAGGTGCTGGTAAAGGTCATCATAGGCCTGACCCTTCGCTACACTCACGGCACGCTTTGCAGCCCTTCTCGCTATTTTATAGCTCTCAATGTTGGTTGCACTCTTGTCAAGGTGGAGACGCTTGAAACACTCCTTCTTCTCCTGAATATCCCTTTGCACCTCGTCATTCCACCACCAAGTGTCCTTCTCTTCCTGCTTCCCTCCCCTACTCACACCAAGTACTTCTGCAGCCACCTTCCGTACACATGTTTCCATCTTTAGCCACATGTCATCTGCATCTTCTCCTTCTTCCCAAGGCCCCTCGCCTAGTATCATATCCCTAAACGTCTGTGTCGCTTCCCCTTTAAGCTTCCACCACTTCGTTCTCACGGTATTGGCACGTTTGTCCCGGTGGACACGTATTCGGAATCGGAAATCCGCCACCATCAGCTTATGCTAGGGGACAACACACTCCCCGAGTATTACCTTGCAATCTACGCAAGCGCGTCTATCCTCCCTCCTTGCAAGGATAAAGTCGATCTGACTTGAGTGTCGTCCACTATGGAAGGTCACCAGGTGAGATTCCCTCTTCCTAAAGAGGGTGTTCGCTATCAACAAGACATCACATCACATGTCTTACATAGTGTCGTCCACTATATAAGACATCACATCAACTTTAATTTATTGTTTATCTACTCACATAATTAAATAGAGGCACCCGCGAGTTTAACTTACAACAATACCATATAAACGAGAGAAAAAGTTTATCACATATTTGTGAAATCAAGCACACTTAAATACCAAATTCAAGGTATCCAAAAAGAAGGAATGCAAATCGTTGCTGCATTACCTCTTTGATTATGTCAATAATCAACACTCATTTGGTTGTAATCAAGGGAAGCTTACTGAAAATGAAACAGAACCTACTATAGGAAGAAAAAACTGCAAGCGATTTATGGAATTGGGGGAAATGCGTGGAAGTCTTTTTCCAAATGCTCGCAGAAGTGAACAATTTTGTGAGGATTTGACATCACCGTTAGTTGTTGTTCAAACATTCTGCAAGACTCAAGGTATTTTTTATGAGATTTGCTGCATATTTTCATGAGCAGTTTCTATATTCATATTTTTATGTTGCATATTTTCCAAATTCTGCATTTTTTTTACATTCTTCATATTTTTTTATGTCTTGGTAACAAGCATATAACTCTTTGTAATGCATTAGTATTCATTTGGATGTAAAAACTACACGTATTGAAATTATGTGATGAAAATTCTCTGCTAAGGTCAACGAACGTGTGAGTTTATATAGCTCAAGTGGTAGCCCTTACCCTTTATTTGGGTGTTGGACTGGCTAATATCAGGTTCGATCCCGATACCTCAGCGTTATTTAGAAGTTTAGACTACCCTTCCTATTAATCTCCCTGTAACTAATTAAAAATAACACAAATGTGTGGTTATGTGAATAGTTTTTTCTTTTCTTTTTTTTTCGGAAATGATAAATTCTATGAACGAGTTTCAATCAAAAACAATTTGAGAGCACTTAGAACAACTGTACATTGAGCTTAAATTCGACCAAATATTATGAGTTAGAGATGGACATCGACTCTTCAACACAGAGACGAGTATTCACGAAGTTTATTCCAGCATAAGGAATTTTTTGGGACCATATACCTCTTCAACAACACTTTGTGCATTTGCTCCTTATATAACTTTAACAGCTACTTCTAAAATGATATGATTGGTTTGTCAACCAATCATCCATTCAATAAAGCATGAAATATAAACATCCACATTACTATCATTCACAATTTATACAAAACTGTCAAAATCCTGAAGTAAGTGGCAAACAAGCTAAGAGCAGAAAAGCAAAAAATAATAAGAATATAACACGCGAAAATAATAAGAATATAACACGCGAGCACACCTATTCTTGCCATCCAGGTAACATAACTACATAAGCATATAAGATTTAAAAGATAACATCCATCAAATGTCCATCAATGTATTTGGCTCCAACAATCCAAGCACGAGTGAAAAGAGAAAAATGGAGAAATTCTACGAAACTATATTTACAAGATGATTTTTGGTGTCCAGGAGCCTTGGAACTGGTGCTGTTCTTCACATTTTTACCAAGATGATCATAAGGTCTGACACCATTCTCCATTTAAAAAGATTCAAAACAGGGTCAAATATCCGTTCAGGTGCGTGTTCGAAACGACCCAGTCGCGGGCGCGAAACCAAACAAACATTGGCAACTTTACAACCAAGCTCATGATTACTGCTATATAATTTAAAAATAATAATAAGAAGAAGAAGAATATATCCTCTCTCGACATCAGCAGAGGGTAATTGAATAAACACTAGGAAACAAGTACCTGGCAGTAAAATGTGTTTCATGGAGGTAGTGAGATGAGGTGAAATCGAGAACTCAGAAATGATATCCTGCCACTGGCTGATAGCTAGGATAGTTTCACCTTGAACAGCTAAGGCAACACTGTTCTGGAAAATTCGATTTCGAGAATCCATGGTTACAATAAGGGCGTCGGAAAACAGCAAAGGCTGTTGCTTCCATCTCAACTGTTTTTTTGTAATCAATCTGAGCCTACAGGCTCCATGAACGGGATATATACTTCTTCTAGATTTTATTTTATTTTTTCTTTTCTCAGTATCATCAAGCACAAGTGAGCGATAAAATCAATCACAATTGACCTACAAAATAATCAATCACAAACAGGTAAATGAACTCGTCAAACCATTTTCCTCAATAGTTCACCTAAAAACTCACATCAATTAAGCTCAAGAGTCGAGCCCTCCATTCACATCAAACTTATCCCCCATATTTCATAGGCTTCCAGAACAAGAAATGAAGAATCTCACCACAAATCTAATTATATTGAGTAAAGCCGAAGAAACAAAATAAATAAAATTGGAACATCAAATATGTCTAGCAAGCACACACAAGCCAGCGTATAGAAAATCTTGATTAGCAGTAGGGATTAATAGAGATATGTAAGATAGAGAGCCAATATGATAATTGATGCACCAAGGCAACAAATCTTGCTCCAACCAAATAATCAGATGATTAGCAGGCAATACCTCTGCCAACTGTGTGTTTGTGCAAATGTCATAAGCATATACATTAGATCAAAAGGAGAAAATCAATGCAAAAAAGAAGAGAGACAACATCATATGCTCTACACTAAACAATTAGCATCTTCTTATGAATCACTGCTACAACTTAACAAGTTCATTACTACAATCACAACAAAGGGGAAATTGTTTTTGCCATGCTCAGGAGTAAAAAAACCCATTTTTCGTGCTGGGAAAAACAAAAGGCATTTGCTCAATCCAAACAGAAGACACTACTCAATTCAATTCCACATTATTCGTCAACAGTCACACCATAACAAGACAAAAAAAAAAAAGAGAGAGAGAGAGAGAGAGAATTCAAGCTAATACAAAAGCTACAAGCATGCTCAATGATCACTGCAAGCATTTGCACTGGCAGCTGCGGCCTTCTTCTTCTTCTTCTTCCTAAACTTGACATCACACACAAAGGCTTTCTCCAACATCTCCACTCTGTTAGTCAGCGTATTAATCATCCTCGTCTGCATCTCATTCCTCTCGAACAACTGCTTCATCATACTCATCATCTTCTCATTGTCCTCTATCATGCGCTCCAACAAATCCCGGTCCCTTTTATTGTCATCCTCAACTCTGTGCCCCTCCTTCGCATTCTCCTGAGTCCCATTCTCAACCGAAAAGTCGGATTTCTCACAAATACAGCCATTGTCAAAGCCAACAGCATTCGATTCGCTGATCACCTTCACCTCACGATCCACCCCTACATCGATAATATCAATCTCCAGAATTTCCATCTCATTGTTATTGTCCCCCAAAACTGCACTTTCGGGAGAATCTTCTGGTTTCAATGTCTCCTCAGAGACGACCTCACCACCACTTTCATCTTCTTGATCAACGGCCTTGCGATTACCAGTGAGATTAACGGCCACGATGGCATCAATCCTCTCCTGCAACGCAATCGCCTTGCGAATTACAGCCTTCCTGCAAGCCCTAACCCCAAAATCCACCCCACAAATCGAGTCGAGCTTGAACAGGAGAGACATCAGGCTCTCGTTCATCCTCAAACGCTCCTTCTCGTCCCTACGAACCAGATCCACAACGTCCTCCTCCGAAAGCCTCCCCTCGATCTCATCCACCTTACACTTGATGTCCTTAATCTTCTTCAGGCATTTACGAACCAGAAAGCCCCTGAAAACCTTCTGTATCTTCACGGCGGACCCCAAGCGATCCACCTGTCCCGATCCGACGAACTGAACAGGAATCCGAACGACTTTCCCTCTCTCCGGCTGACGCTGGACCGGCGGCCGGGAGGCAAGGCGGGTTTCCAGCGGATCGAGATGGTGAGCAGGCACGCCACCGTACGAAGGGGTGGGAGAGAAAGGGTAGCGGCGAGGCGGTTGTTGGTACCAGCGGCCGTCTGTGAAAAATGGATTCTCCATTTATGAAATCCAAAGCACTGAGAGCAAGTGTGTGTTTACTGTGTGTTAAATTCTTCTTTTTCTACCCTCTTTATCGTTCAGCTGAAACTAAAATTATTTTTGAACTGTATATATAGTAATAGATAAGTGGTGAATTTGAAGGGTGGAATATTTGTAGGTGGGACAATGAGAGGTGGGAATTCGAAATTGAAATCACCAGAAGCTTCAGGGAGATATTTTTGGGTGGTGTCAGGGGCATATTTGTTAATTTAGAAACTGGGAGGACGGTTCTGGATATATGTAGTACCTTCTCCAGGGATATGGCTAAATCCAAACGTGCGTGGGCTTGCTTCACCGCTGAATTAGTCAAACAACCATCTCGCTAATTAAATCTAGTGAAAGGAAATCCCGAATGGCAGCCTAGAATTGCTTATAGGGCTCGAAAATTCGCTTATTCCTGTAAATTTTCGACATCAGTCCACATATCTCTTGATTTAAGTACCACTGCAGATGAAGGTTCTTTCCCTTGATCAGGTGTTTCTTTTGTGACGAGATGCGTCCTGCCACTTTTCACTCTTTCCCAAACTCCTTTACCAAGAGATGTCAGAAAGATAGTCATCATTGATTTCCACTAGGAGTAATTCGAGTCGTCCAATTGCGGAGGTCTAGACATGAATCCACCATCATGATTCTTGATTGTCGTTTAATAGATCCTTTGAGTCTTTGTGTATGTATACGAAAACCCGCTCTCTTACCAATTGAAATTATGCGGGTATAACCAAAATTAAGCTATATATTTGAAGCAGTAAACTTAGATGTAAGTTCACACAATTGCGGAAGCAAGGTTCTACCAAACATGAACCTTTAGGGGAGCATCCCACTCCCTCTCAGGAACTCTTTCATATATGTGAATGTTTCACCTATTACAAATCGGACTTACAGTGAAGACTCTCTATTCACTACCTATCTTGTAATCACTCACGACACTACTTTTCCGACCACAAATCCCTTGTGGATTTTCACAACTCAAATCCCTTAAGTTCGATCTAAGTATTCCTCCCGAACACTTATACAAATAGTTTCAAATGAATAAACTTTCAAGCACACAGAGATCGAGAACAGATTCTCGACTCTACTCACATAAACAAAATAAAATCAAAGACTCAAGGAAAAATCTCTCGAGTAGTTCACCTCCGTTCACTCCTCTCGGCACTATGTGTACACAAAAATTAACTCCACGAAAACTATTGCCAGTTGTGTTTGGAAACCTTTGTATCTCCGCAGAATATGGTAAGTTTCTTTGATTGCGTCAATCTTCACTAATGCTACGTTCCTGCTCCTCCGGATATCTTTTCTCCCACGCAAGTCTTCTTCTAGAAGGTAAGTTGGACTTGCAATATTAGGATGCCATATAAAGAATTTCTTCAACACACTCAATTCCCATGCATGGTAAGTAGCTGCTCCAAGGAAGGTCGAATTCCATTCCTATTAATATGATAAAATATTAAGTCCAAGATAAATGGATTTAATAAAATAAAACAATAATTAAGATAATCAGTCTTCCTTTTTATTTTTGAACAGTTCCAGCGATCAATGTAGGTTCCAGCTTCACTGAAGTTTGTCGATTTAATGTCAACTCTCAAGTTTTTACATTATGGATTTTGTTGCATAGTCGATTCGTCCTCTTATCTCGATTTCTTTATGTAATATTATGACATAATTATTAAGAAACTGGGTAAGTTCATCTTCATGTTGTGCCTGACCAAGGTCTGGGTAGTTGTTGTTACTAACTCCATTTGAAAAATTGAAGTGCTGGTTGTATCACTTCCTTGTGATTTTCCCCCTTGCTAAAAATTGGTGTTGTAGCGAATATCTTCAACAATCCTCCCTTCTTTCCAAGTACTTTTGAACATTATTGCAAAACTGCCCTCTTGATGTTAACTGGGAAGTATTGAAACATATTTACATCCCTGAAATAAATTCAGCTGAGTAGATTTGATTGAAACATCATATATATTTGTAACGGGTCTGCTTCCGATAAGGCAATTGCCTTTGGTTCAAGATATGATTCGTCAACCGGGTAAATACTGGTCTGCGTATCTTCATGTGAATAGTTAACCACAATTTTGAATTCATGGTCGAAACTATCTCTTGTGAGCTTGGTTTGTTCCTCTTTTTGCTATTTGGCATGAATACCACCAATTGTAAAGGTTTATTTCATGGGACTTTGCCTAGAACAATCATCTATTTCTAGGTTGTTGATGATTGTGTCTTTCCTGCATAACTTGCTTTAAACTGAGCTAGTGTTTCTTTTGCTTCAAACATACTAAAACCTATTTTGTGTATAATATTCTGTCATGTAATAAATATGGTTGTCTGACTCCAATAGGAAAATATATCCTGATTAGGTCCATTAAATATTACATAATGAGGTTTTGCCTTTTCTTCTTCATCTATTTCTTTTTCTGTTTCTTTTGATGCTTCAGCTTTTTCATTGAGAATAATATGGCTTTTATTTGATTATTTTTTTTTATTTTTGCTGTATTTGCTCAAAGAGTTCCCCTACTTACTTTTCAAGTATTTCCATACTGTCTTCTAGGATAGGTCTAAGTACTTCCATTCTCGCGTTAATGCGTCTGCTAAATAGTTTTCTTTTCCTGAAATGTGTAAAAATATATAATCAAATTGTTGTGCCTTTAGGCTTCAGTTTGGAAAATGAATTTGACTGGGTGTAGGTCGAGTTTAAATTTTTCAAGTGCATTTATAAAGGCTAAAGTTTCTTTTTCATGTGTAGTGTAATTGCGTTCAAGGCAATAAGTCTTGCTCCAACCAAGCAATCAAATGATTAGCGAGCAAAACCTCTACCAACCGAGTGTTCAAATGTCATATACATTAGAGCAAAAAGAGAAAATCAGTACAAAAATGAAGAGAGGCAACATCATATGCTCTACACTAATGGGTGTGTGTAAAAGCATATAAAATTCAATCAAATTAACTCAAAGTAAATTTTTTTTAGTTAACTATAGTTAATTTAGAAAAAATAGTATAGTTAATTGTTAACGGGATTTTGAGAATACATTAAAATAATATTTAAAATAAAATAATTAAAATTAATTTGATTTAAAAATAAGATAAAGATGATATGAAGTGATGATTAGTTAAAATTATGTGAATTAAAGTTGATATTGTGTTAAAATAATTTGTTGTTATTATTTAATAATTAATTATTATTATTTAATTATATTGATAATATTGAGAATAGTAGTATTGAGTTGAAGTTGAATTAAATTTTGAGTATGAATTAATTTAATTTGAGTAACTTCTTTTTACTACAAAGACAGCACAAAGGGAAATTGTTTTCGCCATTCTCAAGAGTTATTAAAAATCCATTTTTTATTTGCAAAAGAAAATCCATTTTTGTGCTGGGAAAGCAAAAGGCATATTTGCGCAATTCAACAAAAAGACACTAAGAAAAATGTATTTCTTAGTGATGCTGGGAAAGAAACTCTTATCAAATCAGTGATTGGAGCTCTGCCCTCATTTGTAATGTCTTGTTTTAAACTACCTAAATCTCTTTGTCAAGAAATTTGCAGGAGAGTGGCTACCTTTTGGTGGGGGGTAAATGAAGAAGGAAAGAGCAAAATCCATTGGTGCTCCTGGTTAAAACTTGCATTACCAAAAGAGTGTGGTGGCTTGGGCTTCAAATGTTTGGAGGCCTTTAATGATGCTCTCCTGGCAAAGCAGATTTGGAGACTCCTTACAAATACTGACCTCCTTATGTGTAAAGTACTCAAAGGGAAATATTTCCCTCATTCAACTCTGTTTGAAGCCAAACACAAAGCCTCTGATTCCTGGCTGTGGAGTTCATGGTTGAAAGTTAGAGATAAAATGAAAGCTGGGTTCTACTCTCAGATTGGAAATGGCAAAAACACATTCTTATGGGCTGATCCTTGGGTTGCAGGGCTACCTTATCTTCACCCTGTACCTCTTAGCTCTTCTATTTACCAAGAGATGGCAAAAGTGAGTGACCTCTTAAATGAAGCTGGATCAGCATGGAATTCTGAGCTGATTCTCAAATCCTTCCCCCCTCATGAAGCACACCTAATTCTCCACACTTCTGTCAGCAGAGGAGACCAAGAGGACAAATGGTCATGGAAGTTTTCAAAGAATGGCAGGTTCACTGTAAACTCAGCTTACAAAGCCAGAATGGCACAAATTCAAAATTCGACCTGTGTACCTGAATCAAGTGACTCTGCTTCCCAATTGACCAAGATGTGGAAAAGAACTTGGAGGCTAAAAATAAAACCAAAGCTCAAAAATTTTATTTGGAAATGTTGGTTTAATTATCTTAGCACTGCTGAGCAGTTGAAGATTAAGAAGATCTCAACCGATCCAATTTGCAGCATTTGTGGGGACGATGTGGAAAGCCTTGAGCATCTCTTTTTTCTGTGTCCTAGGGCTGTGGAGGTGTGGAAAATTGCAGGGCTGGAATGGCAAGGTATGCATAAGCCAGACATCTCTTTCAGGAACTGGTGGATGGATGTGTGTAAAATCAGCTCGGCTGTCTGCATTATTGATCGCATTAATCTATCCACCTATATTCTATGGTGGCTATGGAAAACGAGAAACTCTTGGGTGTTTCAAAAAGTAAAACGGACTGAGTTGGAGATTATTTGTGGTGCTAAAAGGGAATGGTTGGAGTTTGATGAAGCAGGCCTTTTGTCTGTTTAGTTGTTCTTGGTTTTGGTATTGATGTTTTGTTTTGCTGGGAGCCTGGGATTTTATTTTTGGTTTCTCTTGATATCAGCTCTGTAGGCTAACCAATGGGTCAGCAGTGCAGATTTTCAGCTAATAGCAAGGTGTTTTGTGGGGCTTGCCAGGCTTGGAGGGTGCTGCTTTTGTGCTTAGCTTTCTATAGTTTTGCCTTGTCTTTTGTGTAGCTTTTCTTCTCTTGTTCTTCCTATAAATATTTTAGTTCTTTTCTGTGTTGTTGCTATAGTTATTGTATCTTGGATTTGGTCTTTGTTCTTTTGGTAGTGTTGGCTTTGGAACTTCTAGTTCCCGTTGATCACTTGCTCTGCAAGATCCTTGCAAGCAAGGTCTTATTATGTAATCTCCCGGATATTGTATTTTGTTTCCGAGTTTTATTANGCATGCTCAATGATCACTGCAAGCATTTGCACTAGCAGCTGCCTTCTTCTTCTTTTTTTTCTTCTTCTTCTTTTTCTTCTTCACCTCATTGTTATTGTCCCCCAAAACTGCACTTTCAGGAGAATCTTCTGGTTTCAATGTCTCCTCAGAGACGACCCCACCACCACTTCCATCTTCTTGATCAACGGCCTCACGATTACCAGTGAAATTAACGGCCACGATGGCATCAATCCTCTCCTGCAACGCTATCGCCTTGCGAATCACAGCCTTCCTGCAAACCCTAACCCCCAAATCCACCCCACAAATCGAATCGAGCTTGAACAGGAGAGACATCAGGCTCTCGTTCATCCTCAAGCGCTCCTTCTCGTCCCTTCGAACCAGATCCAAAACGTCCTCCTCCGACAGCCTCCCCTCGATCTCATCCACCTTACACTTGATATCCTTAATCTTCTTCAGGCATTTACGAACCAGAAAGCCCCTGAAAACCTTCTGTATCTTAACGGCGGACCCCGAGCGATCCACCTGTCCCGATCCGACGAACTGAACCGGGATCCGAACGACTTTCCCTCTCTCCGGCCGGCGCTGGACCGGCGGCCGGGAGGCAAGGCGGGTTTCCAGTGGATCGAGATGGTGAGCAGGCACGCCGCCGTACGAAGGGGTGGGGAAGAAAGGGTACCAACCGCCGTATGTGAGAAATGGATTCTCCATGTCTGAATTCCAAGGAACTGTGAGCAAGTGTGTGTTTACTGTGTGCTAGATTCTTCTTTTCTTATTCTCTTTATCGTTCAGCTATATATCGTAATAGATAATGGGTGAATTTGAAGGGTGGAATATTTGTAGGTGACTAAATCCAAACGTGCGTGGGCGTGCTTGAGCACTGACGTGTCATTTCCACCGCGTAAATTATCTACACTGGCGATATCTCGAACCCCCAAGAACTTAAAAGGAGACATCGTTTTTTTTTTTCTCTTTTTTACGAAAAAAATACATAATTACATCTAGACAACCAGCTAGAATTATTCAAGTAGTCATCTAGTTGAATCTAATGAGAAGACAATTGAAAGAGCAGCCTAAACAGCACAACACACTAACAATGATGAAAATAATAATAATAATAATAATAATAATAATACTCCTCTTCCTAAAGGGAGAATCAACACAAAGTTCCCAAAAGGAGAATCAATACACAACCATAAAACAAACAACACAAACAAGATAAACACCCACAACACAAAAAACAAAACAAAAACGAAACGAAGCCCTCCTGTTGCGCAAATTATACCTCGATCGGGTTGAACCGCGCCTAGCTGGTTTGAACTACCTTGATGCCTTTGACGACCTGCAAAACGCCGGGAGGTGTTCTAGTGGAAAGCACTCTGACGCTCAAGTCAGCCCAACGTCCAGTAGAAATAAGTCGAGAGAGTAAATTCACATGTGTATGTGTCTTGTGTAAAAAGAATTAACTTGTTCCCTTTTTATAGTTGATGTTACGTATAGGTCACAGACTTCTTGTTGGACAAAAAGTCTTTCTGGTATCTATCTCTTAATTAGGTCAAATATCTCTGAATCATCAGACTCCTTAACTTTGCCAACTTCCTCATAACTTGATCACGAAACTACATCCAGGCCCTGGTCCCCTCAGCAGAACCCTCTGGCCATGGTGTCGAGGTGCCGAGGTGATCATATTCCGCAAAGCTCACCAATCTTTGGTATGCCGTCGGAGTGTTCATGTCAATCTAGCCCCAGCCTAGCTCCTATTCACTTTTAAGGTGTTGAGGACGAAGCTCATGCCGAGATCCTTCCCTCCACGGGCGATAGGTGCCGAGCTGTGACTGAGCTCGGCCTACGCCCGGTTCTCCATGAATTGCTACTTATGTCCGTATCACCTCCCAACAGCCGACAACCGCTCCAACACAACATTGCACAAGACAAGAGCCAGCGACGACACCTCCAATACAAGCCAAAGCTCGAAACGCAACCTATCCACTCCCTTCACCCAAGGATGATGGACTAACATAGATCCATCCCGGACGACTCAAGACCAACTCGGAGCCGCACCCGAAGAGCCACACCAACCCCTACCAACACACAACCTCGACAAGGGCCCTCATAACCGGCCAAAAGGCTCCAGTCGGACGGGAAACCCCATGAGACGAGGTAAAACAGGGGGAGGAGCCGGCGTCGGCCTCAGTCCCGCCCACCGGAGGCCCGACGGACTGGACCCGCAACCCGACCCTTACCGCCGAAAAGCTACCCGAAAACACCACCACAGCCGCCCAAAACGAGGAGAAACGTCATGCTGGAGAAGACGAACTCTTCAGAGGAAAGAAATGCAGAAGCCATGCATGGGTCGGTCATCTCCGCAAGTGATTGGAGCACCGGCTGAAAGGAGGCGGCCGAAAATGGAAGACGACGTGTGTTTGAAGGGAGGATTTGGCGGTCTTTTACGAGGAGAGAAAAAAAAAGGTTATGCGAGATCGAGTTTCTTGATAGGAGACATCAGTTTGGACGGAGCATCAAGAATTCTTTGACTTTATTTAAAAAAATATACAAGCCACGTACGAAATGGAATAAATCTAAAAAAATATATACTAATGCAAATACAAGTGCAAATGGATTGAATTCTGCTGATTGTGGCAGCATAAAATAAATAAATAAATAAATAAAATAAAATAAAATAAAAATCGGTCTACCCTTAAATCTATTTTAGACTCCAAGTAGAGATTTAGTCTCTTTGCATTGGAGTTAATTTTGTTATTTTTATATATTTTTATCCAGGTCATCCAAAATTTAAATCTAATCACATGCCACATAAACAAAATTAGGCCCTAAACATTGTAGATATTCTACGTAGTGTATTAGACCCAAAGCATTGTAAATGTTATATGTTCGCTTGGGTATCCATTGTAATTTTCTTTGTAATGTTGTATAGTTTATTTAGATGTTATATTTATTTCTTATTTAAGCAATGAATACTTGTTTTTTGTATTTTTGTTAATTATTTTTTTAACTTTTCTTCACTTTTTATCATCATTTTATAATAAAATTTTAAACTTGTAGTTACACTTAACATATCAAGCCTAGTTATATTTATTTTTAATATTTGTATTTCTCATTCTATATCAAAATATATACTTCTTCCACACGTATTATATTCTTATTCTAAAACCGTTCCCTTGCTCTGATACAATTTTTATTTTTTTGTTTTAGGTGGTCCTATTTTCACTAATGTTCTATACTTTTGTGTATAATTTTTTATATTATAATCTAATTGTTTTAAGTTTTGCTCATCCTTTTCTATGTATTTATATTGAATTATTTTTTGAATTGAATAATCTCTTCCATTAGTTTCTTTTCTTTTTATTTCATATAATTCAAAATTTATACCTCCCATATTTTATATCTAGTTTTAAAATTCTAGATTTTGTTACTTAAATTTATTACTAAGGAGTTTAACTCGTCTAATTCTTTATTTAATTTTTCTATTGTAGTGTTCTTTTTTTATAAATTATTTACTACTAGGTGGTTCTTTAATTTTTTGTATTTTTACTAAATTCTTTTCAGGTAGTTTTCCTATATTTATAGATTACTAGTTGATCGCCTACTACGTTGTATTAAAAAATCTTTTTAAATTTTATCATTTTTAATCATCGTACTTGTTTCATTGAATATCTTTTTTGTATATATACTTTGTTGATTTTGATAATGCATACTTAAACTACTATTACTTAATGCATAAGATGTTCTAGAACAGACAACTATGGGTATATCTCATGATTCCATTAATGTTCTTTCTTGAAAATTACAAATTATTCATAAACAATTGTTGATTTTTTTTATTTTTTTTTGGTTAACAAAGGTATAGAAAACTGTAGTGATACATTAAACATAATGAATCCATATCCTAAATCTCCTTCAATTTCTCTTAATTTTCTTGTTTCTTTGTGCATAATTCTATTATCTCCAACTATTATGTTGACTGCGTTTTAATTCCTTCTCTGATAGTGATCATAATACTACTTGAGTTGTGTTTATATGTACAAAACCAATTTCTTTCTATCTTTTTCTTTTATATTTTCTAGCCTTTTAGCTATTTGACTTACTTCGATTAATGGCGCCTTAAATCTATAATTCGCTTGCTCTATCTTAATTGGTTGTTCACCATTTATTATACCGTATATTAATATATTTTTTCTATTTAATTTTTCAAAAAGACTATTATTAATTCCTTTTTTCTTATCTAAATCTAGACTTCTTTTATTTTTTATTTTTGTTATCGTAAGATTTTGAAGATTGGCAGTAAATCGACGAACCTTCATTTGTCCCAGAAAATATGTTGATAGAATATATAAGGGAAGTATTTTATTTTATTTTGGTTTAATACATTAAATATTAGTTAATCAAAATCAGCTGATTAGACTATTTATTTGTGTAGGAATAAATGGAAGAATTCACTTACCAAACATTGAGATTTGAAGTACGGAATGTCAAACATTCCAAGTGAAGCGGCAGCTCTAGACGGAAACGTCCAGGTCGGACACAAAGATCAACCCTCGGTAGCCGGTGCTTCCGTACTTAACGTCGGACCGGCAACACACCACGAGGATCTAATCTGATAGAGTCGATCAGGTCGTATTTCAAGACCGGCGCATTGCCGTCTGACCCAAAGAATGCCAGACAGCTTCACACGTGGGCAGCTCGATTTACGATCGTGGCCGGCGAATTATTCAACAGGGGGTATTCGGCCCCCCTAGTAAAATGTTGAGCGAGAAGACTCTGAATACGTGCTAAGAGAAGTTCACGAAGGTGTCTGCAGCAATCATTCCAGAGGGTACGCGCTTGATCACAAAGTGCTAAGTCAAGGCTACTATTAGCCGAGCCTGAAGAAAGACGCCCTGGAATTGACCCGAAGGTACACTAAATGTCAGGTCCTCGCACCCAACATCATTCAACTGTCGCAGCCCTTGAAGTCCATATTCATCCCATGGCCATTCACGAAATGGGGGGTCCATTTAATCGGTCCTCTACCGACCGAAAAAGGATAAGTGAAGTACGTCATCGTTGTCGTCGACTACTTCATAAAGTAGACAGAAGTCGAGCCTCTAGCTTAGAGATGTCAATAAAACCCGTAGGGTCGGGTTACCCGCATTTTCGGGTCGGGTAAACCCGTGATGGTCGGGCTTCGGGTCGGGTTCGGGTAGAATTATGCTACCCGAACCCCGGGTCGGGTCGGGTCGGGTGCGGGTATAGTAGAAAAACCCGTTACCCGACCCGATTACCCTACCCGTTTACCCGCACATTGAATTTTACATATAAATATATATAAGTATATATTTGTAACTTATTATAAATATAAAAGTATTCATGTGTTATTAATATTAAAAATTATATTATTTATTATAATTTTGATTAATGGTTAAATTTTATTATATTTTTATTATTTTATTATCATTTTTTGTTAATTGTACAATAAAAAAATTAAATACTTAATTTTTAAGTGTTATATTATTAAATAGACTATAAAAGTTAAATAATTATATCTCATTATTTATTTCAAAAATAATATATTTTTTTTTATAGTTTTTATTGTCAAATTTAGTTGATAAATTATTTGTTACATTATAACTAATTGTAAAATTATTTTATTTTATTTTTTCATATCAAACGAGATGGGTCGTGTAAAGCCAAAATTTAAGAACTCGTGTTACCCGTTTACCCGAAGAAAACCCGCTAACCCGACGGGTAAAACCCAACCCGAACCCGAAGATCACTAACCGGGTAACGGGTCGGGTTTGGGTAGGGTAATTTATACACGGGTCGGGTCTGGGTTTGCCAAAAGCCGTACCCGACCCGACCCATTTACATCCCTACTCTAGCTACCATAACCGAGCAGAAAATGATCGATTTCCTATGAAAATCCATAATATGCCGCTTTGGACTGCCGCACTCCATAGTCACGGACAATGGAAGATAGTTCAAAGGAAAAAAAGTTAGAGGCATTTTGCGAAGAACGCGGCATAAAACACTTTTTCTCTACTCCCTACCATCCGCAGTCGAACGGCCAAGTTGAAGCAATAAACAAAATAATCAAGCCACAAACATGGCTTGATTAGTTGACCGGAAGCACTTTAACAACACGAATATCAGCTGATCTAAAATCCTTACAGCATTAAAAGTCCATTTAATTAAAGGCTTCTCGCGTTGTGGAAGTCGATCTCAAACTCTTATCATCTTTATAATATTTTCAGAATACAATTTCCCATTTCCAGTTTATCGATCTAATTATTACAAACGAATTAATGACCTTACGTGAATACCTTTCATCGGCACAAATGAATCACTTCAAAAATTTTACACAATCCTAAGACTTACATCAACACAAATGAGTCACGCTTCGGAAAAACTTACATGATCCTATATTCCATAAAAATCTCTTTAAAAAATATGTATAAGTC